AAATACTAGTTATTAGGGCACAGGGTGTCCTAACTTTTTCCTCAGTAGGAATTGGCATCTTAGTTAATTTCCTTTGTTAAATAAGTGAATATGTTTCTTGTTTTTGCATAGCTGATGCAATTACATCAGCTCTATCTACAGATATAATTTGAAAGAATATTTAATATTGATATTTCTTAATGAAGAATTGCATATTTAATGGGGTGTCCTAATTATTTCACATGACTGTATTAAAAATAAAAATACAGCAGAAACCGCTTAGTGATCATGGTTATAGTGATCAAAGGCTTATATGGATCAAAAAGCTTGGGACAGAATCATTCTGTATAAATACTGTATAAATAATTCACTTATAGTAATCGAGTAGTCCGTTTACAGTGTTCATTTTGTCTTTTTTAAAAATACATAGCAACATATGGAAACATTAAACTAGGATAATTATTTTTTTGATAGCCTTGCGATAACCCGTCTGCTTCTGGCTAGCTACCAGCTGCGCAAACAGAAAACATGACAGGAAAAAGAAAGTAATTTTCTTTCAATTAAAAATATAATACTCATCAATGCTTATGATAAACTATTAAAATGGGCCAACTTGCTCAATTCTGCAGTGAAGTATCAGAAAGCAATCCCGGTGTGCTGCGTCCTGTTTGGGGGGTACGGTGGCAAACAAGAAAATACCTCATTACGAGATAGTAAGTCATAATTACAAGATAAGGTGTCTGTTTTTTCCTTTTTTGAATGCAATGTGCTTCTGTATCCCTAAGACGTTATTGACAGCCTTTATTTTTTCCTCTCTGAATGCTCTCCATTGTCCATGCCCCTCCCCTGAAGATAATCCAGAGTCACCACTGGCCCCAAATTTCCAAATGGCACAGAATGGCAAAAGCTCTGAGTTGGCCTATTTCCAACACCATTGATTTTTAAGGGGTAGACCTCTGCTTGCTTTAATGGAATCAAAAAGTATTTTTCATGAAAAAAATACAAAAATACACCAATCAGGCCACTCTCTAACGAGGTTTAATCAAGCATTCCTATTAACAGAATGAGTGATACCCCACAACAAATAGTAAGAGACTAGCAGTTATTTTTTAAAATAATGCTGTCAAAAGCATAGATTTATGACAACACATAGCACTAAATTGGATGTCTTTATTATCCAGCCATCCATCCATCCTGCATACCGGGGTCCACACATGATTTGCTGAGTACCGAGAGAAGGAATATATAAAATATAAGTTCCATATGTGGAACTATACTTTGTGAGTAAATTACCAATTATATTATACCACTAAGTACAAAAAAATTCCAGTTTTCCTCTTTATCTCATCTCATATTCCTTCTCCATTTCATCTAAATCACACACCACTCAAACACATCAATGAATGTTATTCCCTTCTTGGAATGACATTTAATTCTTGTGTACCATGAACTGCACTGATTTTTCTTATGGACAGTAAATACACAGAACATGACAATGCATAGGTGAGAAATGGAGATAATCACTGGTAAAGTCCATTCACGGATTACAGCTGTAGATTGTTGGTTTTTAAACAGCTACTAAGATATGCATCTTCACTTTTCCATTAATCTCTTATTCAACCTACTTCACCACAGTAAAATGCTATTCAGAAGTTGGGCTTGTGCTTCTTGACCTCGACCATGAGGTGGTGAAGATTGATGAGCTCTGAGCGAACGGCCAGGCTGCGGAAAGTGGGCTGAGAGAGGACCTTGTGGAAACCATGGTAGTACTGGATAAGCTGAGTCAGCGCCCCCTGGTGGACAGACACATAGTTTAAAAAAAAAAACACAGGATTGCAGTAGCCTGCAGAAAAATCTTAACAATAAAGGATTCATGGACTTGTTGGCGACAGCACAACAGGCAGAGTGACGAGCCTCCTTTGTCCAATTCCCCATGAAAATGGCTGCTTTCGTTACTAGGGAATTTTCAAAGCTAGAAACTTTCCATGGGAATTATTGGGAATATATGAAAATTGATAGGAATATATGTGAATTAATGGGAATAAACTGGAAATTCGCAAAATTGCAGGGTAGCCTATAACAGGGAACTTAAATGTAATTGAAAAGAAAATCTTGATGGCATTAATAATGATATCATTGTGTAACCAAATACTTGTGAGTAATTATGTGTGTAAAAATACCCCAAAATAAGCATCTGCATCAAAAGACAAGTTTATAAGTCATATTCTACATTGTATTATTTATATACAGTTTGCTTTCTTTGCTGTATCTGACAGCCCATGCAGACTTCCACCGAGTTCAATATTTCCAAAATTCCCCAGCATAAATTCCCATGGAAAGTTTCTAAGCATGGTATATGTGGCTATAGATATTTTTATGATTTTCTATCAGATTTCAGCAGAAGCTTTGGGAAGAACCTGTATGATGCTGGTGCCGTTCTTGAAGTTGGTGAAGGACCTCATGACGTCCTGGCTGAGAGCTTCTACAGACTGCTTCCAGGTGCTGGAAAAGCCCCTTATCAGCTGGGTGATGCGGGCTGGGCCAGAGCAGGGAGGGGCGGCACAGGAGAGCCGAAGAAGGCGTGTGAACAGGAGCGAGAGGGTCGACATCATCATCTTATTCATTAATAAACACGGCGTAGGAGTTCGTGCCAGTGGCGGCCATGACAGCGAGTCGCTCCATGTGCCACCTACCTTCCCGGCCTCACCATCATCATTCTTCAGCCTGTCCAGCTGTCCCTTCTCCATCAAAGCCTCACTCTCCTTCACAAAGGCAATCATTCCTCCGAAAGGAGGGGACAGGATCTCCTCAATGAACTCCTACCAGAAAATATCAAAGACACAAAGCAACAAGACCAAGACTTTTGTTTGCATTCACAGCCTTTGTTGTTCAGTGCATCACCTTCTAAACTGTGGACAGTAAAATGATTCAGTAATAATTTCCTATACTACAGCAGCTGTCACATATAATCAAATCTCACAGTTTCATTACTGGACAAATGCATTACAATTCAACTGTCAAGATATGCAGTACTGATGAAGCCTGAAGGGGGCGCCACCCTGCAGTCCTCACCCATCTTACCTGTGTTCTGGCCAAAAGAAGCTGCTGGAAACCCTCCACCTCTTTACTGTCATCGGCTGCTCTCTCCTGAGGGACACGGAGGACAGAGAGGCCAAGATACAAATATATACAGAGACCATGAGGATACGGCTTTATCATTGGGAGTACAGTCCCTACACCATTTACTCAATGCCTTATCCATCTATAACAATGTAATACACCATTAATTACACTTTTCTTCTGCATTCTGCTCAAGCTATAACTGAAGCATGAATTACACTGATATCCATTTGATTTAAAGAAAACATTATATGAGCAGTAATGTAAAAAAAGTATGATCTAATTTATTCGTTTAAACGAACAAGGTTCACAAGCCATAGGTCACCATGAGAACACTGAGCATCATGTCATAGTTGTTGATGAGGAAGATGAGCTGGTCCCGCCTGGAGGGGAACTCTGCTGCCATCTTCAGGACAAAGTTCTCTACTTCAACCTTTAAAAAAAAAACAAAGCTCAAATTACCTGTACACTGTAACTAAATCCCCTATTTGAATTTCATGAACGAATTTCATGAATTTAATGCTGAACAAATTGGCTATGAATTTGCATGGCTAGGTGAAGTTGTGAGGCTTTATCTACAACCAACCTGGCAGAGGTTTGGGTTTCACTTGAAAAAAGCTGCGTAGGTCAGTGCGGTAACAGCACACTGCTGTACAAAGATATTCCAAAGGCATATCTCGAGTCTGTGTAGATAGTGACTTTCTGTCCTTCAGCCAGTTTACAGGCCTGTTGTAGTGCAAACAGCTCAGCCGCTTGTGTGGACCAATGTCTGGGCAGATGCCCTCCGTCCACAAGTGATTCATCTTGCAACACCACAGTATAGGTAGTCATTAGTGGTCCATCCTCCAGCCTCAAAGAGCTCCCATCAACAAACAGGATGTTGCCTCCTTCCAGTGGGATGTCAGTTAGATCCAGTCTGGATCTGCACACACAGTCAATTACCTGCAAACAATCATGTGGTTCCCAGTCCTCCCTCATGGGAAGGACGGTCGCAGGGTTCAAAGCAGAGCACCTTTCCACAGTCACATTTTCCAATGTTAGTAACACGTTCTGATAATGCACTGATCGTGCAAGTCTCAAATGAGATGTCCTGGTCTGTGTCAGGATCACGTGCACTGCATGAGGAACTCAAAGTTTTAGTGGATGCGGCTGGACTAGATCTGCACTTGCCATCACTGCCTCAGCTGCTGCAGTCACCGCTCTAAGACAAGGGGATAATGCTCGAGCCACTGAGTCCAAACGTTTTGAGTAGTATGCAACTGGTTTGCACCTTCCCCCTGTGATACTGAGTCAGAACTGAGGTCATGAACCCCTTCTGCACGAATGGCTTTTTATAGTCAGGCACCCCCAAAGCTGGGGCTGACATTAACATTAACGCCTGTTTTAAATCAGTCAGAGCGTCTTCAGCTTCGGGCGTCCACATCAGTCAGTCTGTCTGTCAGTCCTAGTCCAATTGTCAGATCAACCAAAGGCTGTGACCTCTGTGCATAATCCTGAATCCAAGAGCATATTCTTTAACTGTTGGTCTCCTGACTCTTTCATAGTTATAATCGGAAGGGATATAAATGTGTAGATGAAAAAGTGCTAAAGGCAAGGAAGAATACATTTAGGGGCCCATTACTCTGTCACAAAGGGATGATTCATACAGAAAGTTAAAGTCTTTGTGATACAGCCCGACCCTTTTCGGGAAACTGCATAACTACTGATGGGTTTCTAGTGTAACATATTGTGAGGGAGACAAAACACGCATTTACCTTCCTGTCAACACTTCAAAAGGAGCCAAACCTGTTTGCCGATGTGTCCTGGCACGCATGAACAACAAAGCCAGGGGCAGGGCATCAACCCAGGGCAGGCCCACGGTCTCCGAAATTTTGGCCAGTTTCAGTGTTTGATTTGCTCTCTCCACCATCCCTCTGCTTGAGGGGTGATAGGCACAATAATGCTTCAAGTCAATTTGCATCCAAAGGGACAATTTAGCTGGGGTATCTGCGACAAATACAGGACCATTGTCTGTGGTGATTTTAGATGGAACACCCCATCGAGGAATCACCTCCCTTAACAGACATTTAGCCACGTTCAGAGCATCAGGACGGGGGCAAGAGAATGCCTCCACCCATCTGGAAAACAGATCTATAATCACTAAACAATACTTATATCCCTTACATGCCGTCAGCTCAGTGAAATCCATCTGTAGGTGATGAAACAGGGTTTTAGGACTCAGGGTAACTACAGGATCGGTTGCAATGCCCTTTCCCACGTTGAATTTCATGCACACCATACACTTCCTGCAGAATTGGGCAGCAGCCGCGGCAAACCCAGGGGCATGCCACACCCGAGTCACAGCTGCCACCATCCCGTCATCCAGGCCATGAACGGCTTTGGCCATCCCTGGATATGCGGACCTAGGGAGATAAGGTCGGTTAGTCCCAGAATGCCGCCACACACCTTCCCCATCACACCACGCTCCGTTCCTTTTCCATCCGTGGAGCTCACCCTCCGTTGCACCTGCGCCATGATCGTGACACACTCCAAAGGCATATCTCGAGTCTGTGTAGATAGTGACTTTCTGTCCTTCAGCCAGTTTACAGGCCTGTTGTAGTGCAAACAGCTCAGCCGCTTGTGTGGACCAATGTCTGGGCAGATGCCCTCCGTCCACAAGTGATTCATCTTGCAACACCACAGTATAGGTAGTCATTAGTGGTCCATCCTCCAGCCTCAAAGAGCTCCCATCAACAAACAGGATGTTGCCTCCTTCCAGTGGGATGTCAGTTAGATCCAGTCTGGATCTGCACACACAGTCAATTACCTGCAAACAATCATGTGGTTCCCAGTCCTCCCTCATGGGAAGGACGGTCGCAGGGTTCAAAGCAGAGCACCTTTCCACAGTCACATTTTCCAATGTTAGTAACACGTTCTGATAATGCACTGATCGTGCAAGTCTCAAATGAGATGTCCTGGTCTGTGTCAGGATCACGTGCACTGCATGAGGAACTCAAAGTTTTAGTGGATGCGGCTGGACTAGATCTGCACTTGCCATCACTGCCTCAGCTGCTGCAGTCACCGCTCTAAGACAAGGGGATAATGCTCGAGCCACTGAGTCCAAACGTTTTGAGTAGTATGCAACTGGTTTGCACCTTCCCCCTGTGATACTGAGTCAGAACTGAGGTCATGAACCCCTTCTGCACGAATGGCTTTTTATAGTCAGGCACCCCCAAAGCTGGGGCTGACATTAACATTAACGCCTGTTTTAAATCAGTCAGAGCGTCTTCAGCTTCGGGCGTCCACATCAGTCAGTCTGTCTGTCAGTCCTAGTCCAATTGTCAGATCAACCAAAGGCTGTGACCTCTGTGCATAATCCTGAATCCAAGGCATGTAATAGCCAATCATTCCTAGGACTGAAAGCAATTGCCATTAGGCCTTTGGATTGGGCATCTCCTGTATGGAGGCCACTTGTTCTGGTCCTAATGACCTTCCCTCGCTTGTCAACACATCTCCCAGGTATTTTACCCTCTGTGACCCCAGCTGCAGCTTTCTTTGGACGCTTTGTGCCCATTTTTTCCAGGAAGTCTAACAGAGCTCTGTTGTCCTGTTTACAGGACTCGCGAGTGTGAGAGCAAAGCAGCAAATCATCCACATACTGTACCAGTGTGCTACCCTCAGGCACAGTAAACCCCTCCAAAATTCTTGCCAGCTCCTGCCCATACATGCTAGGTGACTCTGTAGCCCTGGGGCATCACTGTCCAGGTCCACTGCTTCCCCTGAAAGGTGTAGGCAAACCAGCACTGGGAATCTTGATCTACTGCAATAGAAAAGAATGCATTAGCCAAGTCAATGACAACGGTGGAGGAGGGGACACTTCAGGCAGGACCTGATACAGGAGATCCGAATTGGGCTTTTTCCTTTTTTTTCAGCATCAGCTTCAGGCGGAGAAACAGCAGCAGTCAGATCGGCCCCCTTTCCTCTCTGCTAAACTTATCTCTCAGCTGCTCCACTCTAGTCTACCACTCCTCTTTGCTCTCACTAAAGCCACAAAGTTTAGAGTTCTGAAGTTTACAGTGCCCTCCTTCAGCCATCCACCCCCAGTGTTACAATTCCATTTTTTACAAACCTTTTTTAGTCCCAGTCCTGTCGCTTGTTCTACTATCTGCCTTGGGGATGCCATTTAATGTTGACACTTGCATGCAACAGCACGGAGAAAAATCAACTCGATGTATCTTTTTATCCCATTGAGGATACTGCACCTGGGAGACCACCAGCACCACACCCATTATCACATACACGTTTTCTGAAAGCAGCACATATGGTCTTATCGTCATACACTATCTCTAACTCACGTGAAACCGGGAGTGGACCAAACTCCAAACAGTCCCTCAGCCTGGTGCCAGGGGTCAACGACAGCACCTGTCTTAGGTTGTTCCTGCCCTCACGCAGGAATCTTACCTATCATTGCCTTGTTACACAGTGCTGTGCAACAGCATGCATTGCATTCACTGTCCAGCCTTCACCACACAGTGCACACACCACCCTGCCCTCTGCCCCTTCTCGCACCAAGCCTTCACCGTTGTTTCTGGCCCCTATGCGGGTGACGGCTTTCCTGCCACCCACTGCCCCGTCACACAACAACTCTTTCCTGCTATACAGTGGCGCCACTCAAAATCATAGACTTTCTCAGGGTCTCGTGCACCCACCTATCACGTAATAGGTCACTCAGGTGTCATCCAGAGACAAATTACTCGGAGCGTACCCTTTCCCTATCACAAGTGAATTCCTGTCTGGTGACGGGGATAACAAGGCTCACCCAGCTTACCTCTCCCAGACAGAGCACTCGCCCAACGGCCCTCTAACCGCTGTCAGCGCTTTCCCCATGCTTGGATCCCTCAGCCACGGGGTACTCCCACATGCACTGAGCTCCACATTCAAATCCTACTAAAGGCGTAACCTTCAGCAAAAAGCAAAAGCAGCAGCAAGAATGAATAAACAGAGAAACCTTTACCTCAGCAAAGCAGGTCTGGTCAATTTAGTCTCAGGAATAGGCAGGTCCGGAGCAGCGTGGTCTAATTTGTTCCTTGACGAGGGACTGGGCCAATCCTTAATCTCATCTGGACCTGGTCCCATCAGGCTCTACGCCTTACCCACTTTTATCGCAGGACCCCATTGTCTGGAACAAAAAAGAACTCAGCGGCCATGTTGGGTGCCAGATTTTGGTAGGAAAATTATAAATCAAAATTCTATTTAGAAAATGAATATTCTTTAAAAATACACTAAGTCACATCTCCCCAAACTAAGTGGTTTAGTAAGACCATGATGACACCCTAGATATGTACAGGGATTTTGGTGGAACTACACTTTATAGTAAGAAAGTTATTAAATATCATTCCTAATATAAAATCATTAAAAACAGACTAAGGTAAATTTCACCAAACTAAGTGCTGTAGTATGACCAGGATGACACCCTA